ATCGTATGTCTTTAGACAAAGTATAAGTTACTCAAGCAAGCCTTCATAACTGGTTTTACTTCTCTCTTGCTCTCTCCCTCCCCCTTTGCCTCCTGACTTTATCATCTTTCTCCCTTTACCACCCTTCTTCCAAAGCCCAAAGCAATAGATGGGTAAGAGAAGAAAGGACACTATTTCAAGTTTTTTGGTTTCCCAATTTCAACCCCTAAAGCAATCCACTTATTATTACTAGTAAAATGAATGTTAACTTCTGCTTTGAAAATCACAATCACCATCTCTAACTGAAAATAATTTTTATTATCTTTTCTGACACTATTGTTTTATGCTCATAACTAAAATAATGGCTTCAATATTTTAGCCATTGTCTTGAATGATGTAATCCATTTCAGGAGGATTTAAAACCACCATGTAAATCTCTAATAGCCAAAAACTATAAAGTATCATTAATTACAAAATCCTGGGGCTCTTAGCTACAAATTACGAGTTGAAAGGATATGGATTTTATTACTGTGTAACATTAAATCCTAAGTAAAACTGCCGCATAAGCTCATTCCCTACTTCATCTCGCCAAGAAGTGCAATACTGGATTCATTTCCATAAAACACAATGAAATTGCTATTCTGCAAAAAAAAAAAAAAAAAAGTATATTACTCTGTAAGATTTTATATCAATGATATAAACTTTACAATATTTTGCTTGACCTTAAGGATGTTTTGTAAATTCTCCAAATTCCCTTTGAATTGTAAAAACCAAAAGGTAGGTAAGATTCCAATAAGACTGGACATAGGACAGAGTCAAGAGAATTAAGCCATAGTTATTACATGGTAAATTTCAATTTATTACCTTTGATATGCTTGTCTTACGGGGTATGATTCTCTATTTTTGGTATGTGTATCTACTTTGAACTCTAGATCTTTTTCTTCTATAATATAGAAAATCAGCTCTTTATTTTCTATCACAGCAGTTATTTTTTCTCCTCGGCTGACTGCTCTGCATGTGCCCATGTGTAGTTAATTTGTTTCTGACCACTTGTCCATTTATCAGAGTAATCTGAATGGTATTAACTTCATTTTTAGTTTCAGCAATTCCACTGAAGATATCATTGGGCAACACAAGATCTCTTGATGATGCCTATATAAAATCATGAATTACCACTGATTTTAGTCCAAACTAGTACTGATGCAATGCTATAGCCTACTGTAAACCCTTCTAAGAAATTCAAGGCCTTGGGACGTTACCCCTTCAGACATGACGTGTCAAACTGTATTTGCTTTCTCTAGGACGGGAAAGAGGGAGACAGAGTAGACGCCAAGAAGTTTCCATTATGGCTTCTTTCTGGCCTTTGAGAGTTCTCCTAGAAAGGGTCACCATAAGCCACTATCATTCTAACACCTAAAGCTTGCTCTTTTGACCAAAATTGCTAGTAAATGGAAAGTAACAATTAGAACTGATGAGACTGGAAGAGAATAGGAGAGGGAAAGGAAAGCTATTAGAAGAGGAAGGGATCCTTTGGAAAGGTAGGAAAGAAGACCACCTTCACCCATCTGACTGTTTGCTCTAGCACCACTTACGGCCATACCACCTGACCCTCAAAAATCACTGACCCCGGCCAGACAACATTTTTCCAGCTAACTGCAGGTGCCTGGCTTATCTGATTAAACCACCACATTATGAGATCAAGGTCATATGCTTGATCCCTACGTTTGTCAATGGGCACAGTTTCATGGTCAAAAACTTGCCTTTTAACTCCAACCTCATAAATACCATCACTTACGTTAAAGACATTCACAAGAGAGGATATGAACCAATGATGCAAATCCATCACCATCACTGAGAAAATAACCAAGAAAACCTGACTTGTGAGTCAGCCCACAGAACAAATTCCATTTAAGAACTCCCTGCTGATCCTGGGCTTCAAGGTTAGACACATAAGGGTAAGAAATCAGGCTTCACTACTTACTTGTTCTATGTGCGACCCTGGACAAGTTAATTTTTCAGAGCTTTTAACAATCAAACACATTAAGGGTCCCAAATAGAGCTTGACATATAAGGGTTACTCAGGTCATGCTAGCCCAGCCCCATCTGGAGATATAATCTGGCAGTCAAGAGCACAGGGATGAAGCCAGGTCCATTCCTGTGTCCCAATCCTGATTTTGCAGCTCACGTGAAACACTGGGCAAGTGATGGCCTTATCGTTCTCATAAAGCTGAGATAAAAAAATTAAAGCATTTAGACAGCACACAGCAATTGTCAACTAATGGCAATTATGTTTTAACTCTTAAGATAATATTATCACTATCTGTTAATGTTTTCCAAAGTACAGTCATGGAACTACTGATATCATAACGACCTGGGTGGGATGTCTACTGAGGGGGAAAAAAAGGATACCATGTCCCATCCCAACCTATTCAAAAATGGTACAGGGTAATGGTCATTTCTGAATCAAACTTCCTTGAGATGCCTATGAAAATTTCAGAATTATTGACCCAGCAGGTCTTGTGCTGTGTCATAGTAAATTAAGACTTGTTTTCCAATCCTTATTCTTTACTATGCCGGAATTGCCCCGTATCTGGGGTTCTTTTCTAATGAGGGACATTTCTGGACATAGATGTCAAACCGATAGGCTCATACTTTTTAGGCTCACTCCTGTTTTTTTCCCCAGTGGTACTATTTTGACTTTTTTTTTTTCTTCTGATCAGGGGTCAGCAAGCTATGGCCTTGATATGCGGCTAATTTTGGACAATCCCAACCCTCACAAGGCGTATGTGTTTAAAAAAAAAAAAAAAGAAGTAATCAAGACCACATGTTGCCCAAAGCCTAAAACGTTTACTATCTGGCCCTTTACAAGAAAAGCTTGCCAACCACTTTGTAGCCTATAATTAAATGTTTTTCAACTGCAGGTCTCAACACAATTTAAAATAGGGAGAAATAATCAATTCAAATAGTAAATATCAAAAAGCACTGCATCTGACAGAAGGTAGTACCTGTACTATTGCCAAAGTTTCAATCAGACACATGTATGTGCCTCCTGGATAATGATCAAATTGTATTTGGTTGCAGTCTAAAAGTTTTAAAGGCCTTGGAGGTGAGGCTGGGGAGTAAATAGTGCAATTGTTTACAAGTTTAACTTGTTTAACTCACATTGAGCAATTTTTACAGCAAAGGTGCCTTGGAGAATATAAAGTCATATAAAGCCCTACTGTTTTGAAGTTAACGGCTTGTTTCTTCACTACAAAATGAAAATGGAATCTCTTCTGTGCACAATATATTGTTATAAGGAGAAAATGGAATCATCAATGCAAAGTACTTCAACAAATGCATTATACAAACAAAAGATTTTGATTATATTAACAACGTATCATACAGAATACATATAAGGTCTTTACCAAGCCCCTGAGTTCCTAGTTTTCTCCAACCTGGGAAAAGAGTCCTTTTTTCCCCCTTTGTGTGTGTGCATGAACATGTGTGCATGCGTCAGGAGCATAAAAGAAGTATTAGATATCTCTGCCCTTTCTATCATCCGTTACTGGCTGCTGCTTCTTACCTATTTAAAACATGCATTCTTTTCTCTTTCTCTTGTTTCTAGAAGGAAAAGTGTTTGATTTGATTCTTGTGCAAAAAGAACTACTAAGACTATGATTATCCTCTTGGGGAAACATTTAAAAGTCCAAAATTAAAATTGTAAGTAACAAGCTTCACTTTTATCTTCATAGAGCACTAATTTTCAGGCTTTCTGGGATTGTTTGGACAAACTAAAAATACATTAATTTTATAATCCATTTCAACATGTAATCGTGCAAAGAAAAGAAACATCTTCCTAGGAGCATACACAAGGAAATGAAATGACACTTCTAAATGTTTTCATTTTATGAAATACACTGCGGACACACAAACCACAAGCAGTGTAAATAAATAAAAGCTGGTGCAATGCTGCATGCATGTTTGCCTTATACCACAAAGAGAAAACACTTGCACATTGCACTCCATGGTATTTTAGCTTGGGTTGCCATAAAAATGGGATTTGGGTATGTTGTGTAATACAGGGGGCTGTAAATGAGGGTGTGTGTCTGGGTGTGTTAGGGAAAGAGGGTTGTAAGCAGAAGGGGTGGGACTTGCCAGTAGCAGCTATTTGAGAAAATTCCGTTTTCTTTCCCATTCATTCTTCTAGCTCAGTCTATTCTAGCTCAGTCTGGCACAGTCCTTACAATTACTCACTGGCTTTTCATTCTAAAGACAACCAACAAGCTTTCAGAACTTCCTACAGTGTTTTTCTCATACACTTAAAAAAAATAAAACAGCAAATCATTCAATATGTCTTTTATACAAAAAGCAAACCATTAACCCGTTTCCTCGTTCCAAAGACCCCCGTGGGTTTCAGACTAAATAGAATCCTTTGTTACGTGTCCAAAAATAACACAACACGGCATTGGTAAATTGGAAAATAACAGATAACTCTTATTTCCAAGAATGTCAGAGCTATTGCCCATAAATTTTGTTCTGCCCCAGTGAGTCCAATTTCATGCTTCTTTTAGTGAATCTACCATCCTAACAACAGTAAAGACAATCATATTAAACATCGTTCGCCTTTTCTCTTTTGACATTCGTTTAATAAATACAAAGGCTGAAAGAAGACGCCAAGTGGGCCAGTTTCTTTATGCACAATGGTATCCTCCAAGCGAAATACCTCCAATCACAGCGAAAGTTGTCTTTCTAGCAGATGCCCACCCCAACCAGCCCAGGCAGAGGGGGCAGACGGGTAGAGGGAATCGTAACCTCCCAGCTCTCCCACCTCCAGGGGAAGGGAAGAGGGTATGACAGAGAGCGGAGTAGGAAGGTGGGCGAGTGGGAGAGACAGAAATGGATGCTGAGGGGGTGGGCGAGATGGGAAGGTAGGGAAAGGTGGAGAATGCGGGGAGAGGTGGGCGCGCAAAGCGGCAAGATCCGAGAGCCGTGGCAGCAAGGGGATCCCGGGGCGCGAGGGCGGGGGGTCTGGTCCTCACCATTGAACGCCCCTGCGTCTGCGGGCGCCGCCTCCTCCTCCTCTCCGTCCTCGGAGTCGGAGTGCATGGGTTCCTCGGCGAAGTTGACCCCCTTGCTGGGGGTGCCACCCCCGGCAGCGGCGGCAGAGGCGCCCGCGTCCCCCCAGGTCCTGCCCTCATGGCCGAAGCGCGCGGTGCCTTTGCGCTCGTTCTCCTGCTGCAGGCGCGTGAAGTGCTGCAGCGCGAACTCCAGCAGGTCCGCGGGCTGGTGCCTCAGCACCTCCACGGTGAAGCCCTGCAGCAGCTCCGTCAGTCCCGCCGGGATCTCGATGCTCATCCTGACTCTGGGGCGGCAGGCGCCTGGGCGCCGCCCTCGCCCCCTCCCCGGCACGGCCTAGGGCCCCGCGGCTGCCAAGCGAGCGCCGACGGCGCTGGCGGCGCTACCGGCTGCGAGCGCGGCGCACTGGGCCCCGGCGGCCCGGCTGGCCCGGCCCGCGGCTCCCGGCGCGCGTCTGCTCCGTGTGGCGGCGGCGGCTGAGCGAGCGCGGCCCCGGGAGGGCTGGCAGCATCTCCTGCTCCTCCCGCTCCCGCCGCGGCCGCGCCTCTCCCTCGCCCGGGCGCCCCGCCCCCGCCCCGCCGCGGTGCGCGGGAGGGGGCGCAGGAGAGCGCGCCCACGTGACCCTCGGAAACCATGGCAACCTCCGCCGGCTGGCGCCGCTCACCAGCGGCTCAGACCACGGCAGGGTGGAATTCGTTGGCGGGCTGCGCGCCCGGGCTGGGTGAGGCGGAGGGAGGCCCAGCGAGGCCGTCTTGGTGTCCACCTGTCCGCGCGTCCAGGAGCGGGCTGGCCACTCGCCCAGCTTCCCACGCGTCATTCGCCATGGTGAACCCCCGCAGAGGTGGTGCCAAGCGATTTGTCCTGAAACTTCAGCCTCCACCTTAGTAGTGGCATTTTATTTTCCTTCTGGAATCTAGTTGCATGATAAGTGTTGTTAATGTCCTTTGTTTAAAGTCTTATGGTGGTACTGTTTCTCTTTTGGACAAAGAAATGCTACCCCATCTTTGTGACGTCTTTCTTTTTCTTCCACCACGTTTTATCCAGCCTTTCCCCATCCATCCTGTTTATTATGTTTTATCTTACTGATGCTATTCCGTTGTGCACTCCACGCATTTACTATTTGTTGAGACAAAGGCACCATTTATTGTGAGGCACCTATCAAAGTTAGTTGATCTCCTTCAAATAGGATAGTGCAAGATGAGGCGCTTATTATTTTGAAACTTTATGCTTTGAGTGATTTTGACTTGTATCTCCAAAAATGGAAATACCTCAGTATAAAGAAAAATAGAATTACGAATGTGTGCTTTTAAAGTAGATGGCTTTGACTTTGATATGAGGCTTACTTTGCAAATGTTTACAATTTTGAAGTAGAGAAAATTGTCTTTTGTCAATTAAATGCTATTTAAATACGCATACTTCATTTTCTACAATTACCATATCATTGTAAATAAAATAGTTCAAGAGCAAGCTCACTTGGTTATTCTGATTTATCTTCCCACCCACGGAAGAGTAAACACATGACTGGGGAAACTCCAAGACTAGAAATCAGAGATGTAACAAACTAGTTCCTTTTGTAAAAATGGATCTTGATGTTAACCCTTTGTTAATGATGCATCCTGTATTCACTCCATGAGCCAATGTATTTCTCTGTTTTCATTTCTTAAGAACTTTATAGTAATAATGCTACGTTGTTTTTAAATATACAGTAGTTAAGTGCTTCTGATTGTGTCAAGCATTTTAAGAATTAAACTTTTGGCCAGGCGCGGTGGCTCACGCCTGTAATCCCAACACTTTGGGAGGCCGAGGCCGGTGGATCACCTGAGGTCAGGAGTTTGAGACCAGCCTGGCCAAATTGGTGAAACCCCATCTCTACTAAAAATATAAAAATTAGCCGGGCGTAGTGGCAGGCGCCTGTAATCCCAGCAACTTGGGAGGCTGAAGCAGGAGAATCGCTTGAACCCAGGAGGCGGAGGTTGCAGTGAACCGAGATCGTGCCATTGCACTCCAGGCTGGGGGACAAGAGTGAGACTTCGTCTCAAAAAAAAAAAAAAAAGAGAATTAAACTTTTATAAAATATGGTGAGCCTCACACGTCACTTGTTGGAGCACAATGTTAGTACTACTATGTACCGTGTAAGAATTATTATTTTTATGGATCTGATAGTCTAAGATGCATGTGTATCACCTGTCTAAATATGTGATAATATTTGTATTAATTATGATTAACACTGCTCACATGTGCAGAAAATGCAAAACACAATAGCTTAAGATAGAATTTTATTTCTCTGGAATCTAAATGTGGGCAGTTCAGGGTCGGTATGGTGCTCTATGATCATCAGGGACCCAGGCTCCCTCAGCTCATTGCTCTGTGATCCTGTTTGTGGTCCAAAATGGCTGCTCCAGGGCCAGTCGTATTTTAGCTAACAGGAAAGTGAAAAAGAGAAGTGGAAGCTCCCCTCCTTTCCCTGAATCACATACCCTTTAAGGACACTTCGAGGAAGTTAAACACAATTCCCCTTCCATCCTCTTGGCTAGAACTTAGTCAACATGGCCACTTCTGTGGTGTGGCAGATTACATTTTCCGAAGATGACTACAACAATATCTGCTAGAGTGTGGCGTGGCCACTACCCACTAATGAATTGAAGTCTTATTTCCCCTCCCCCTTGAAAGTGCCTGTGATTTCTCTGACTAATAGAGCATTATTGAAGTCAATTCAGCATGACGGAAGAAGCCAGCCCTGTGCTGGATGCCCTGGCTGAAGTCTTGTTCCACAGAATTGGTGAGCAGAATAAAAAGGTTGTGGTAGGCCCCTAGGTTTTGAGATAATCTGTTACACAGCGATAGCAACTGAAACACATGGCTATTAGGAAAGTTTGGAAATGTAATCTTTATTTTGAGCAGTCATGTGCCAAGTAAACATTTGGGGATTAAAAAGAACCAAGTCTGATTGGGCACAGTGGCTCACTCCTGTAATCCCAACACTTTGGGGGGCCAAAGAGGGTGGATTGCTTGAGCCAGGAGTTCGAGACCAGCCTGGGCAACATAAGGAGACTCCATCTCTACCAAAAAAATACAAAAATTGGCCAGGCTTGGTGGTACACATGTGGTCCTAACTGTTCAGGAGGCTGAGGGGGGATGAGCGCCTGAGCCCAGGGAGCTCAAGGCTGCAGTGAGCTGTGGTCATGCCACTGCACTCCAGCCTGGGTAATAGAATAAGACCTTGTCTCAAAAAAAAAAAAAAGTCTGGAGATAATTATCAATCTCTCTGCCATGATGTCTAACACCTTTTCCCCAGGAATGACAAAATTAAAAAAGCACTACTTTTCCAAACATTAATAAGAGCCATATCTTGTTAATGCCATTTTGTGTTTCCAAATTATTTCTTTTTGTAGATTTATTATATGAAGCATGGTAGGCAGCTGTCTGTCATCAACCACAACGCCAAGGTTGTGTGGTTCTCATTTCTTTAAGAATACAGAAATGATTCAATCATGAAATGCCTAATGAAATGCCTAATTGGATTAGATGACCCATATAGTCTCTTTCATCCTGAGAGATTTACAATAGTATAACACTAAAAGAAGCCTTATTGGACTTGGAACATCCTTGCAAACAGCTCTCTGGTAATTTTCATTTGCATCAGTTCTTAAATAAATAACCATGACCTGAAAAAGTAAAGCTTGGTCCTGATATTCCCATTACATTAGCATTGTTCTCAGAACAAATGTTCACTTCTCAAATCATATTCTGGCTTTTATTCACTACCACATAACCTTTTTGGTAATATTGTATGATTTCTTTTGCTTTCATTTTCAGAACATTTCATTTTGAGCCTTTTGAACAGTGGCTTATGGGAATTATCTATCTCATATTCTTTAAAAGAGCATCACTGATATTGATTTTTTGGTTGTGGATTTACAAAGCAATTTGCACCAATTTCTCAGAGAATCAGACTGGAAGCAATGGCAAAAGAACTCTGAGAGCTCAGCATTGAAATGAAAAGAGTGCTACCAAATTTGTTTTCACACCGGGAAATTAAAGAGATACATCAACTTGCTTATATGTAACTGCCAAAAAACAAAGTCAATGGCTTGGGCAAGCAGTACAGAATAATAACTATGACCAATCAATCATGCAGCACTTCCTGTCAATAGTTAAGGTGTTTCCTGATCAAGTCTCTGGGGTGCAAGAAATATATACTGACTCAAGGAGAAAAAAAAGGAGGCAATTGAGAGGATACAGGGCCTGTTCTTGCCCAAGGCTGACTGTGATCATCAGCCTCAATTTTACATACCTTCAGCGTTTCAACACTGACTACAGTTTTGGTGTCTCTGATTCATATTCTCAAGAGAGAATCGAGTTAGTTGGTCTTGACCATCTAGTAGATTGCCAGACCTTGACTGAGGTGGTCTAGTAAGTGTGGCCAGTAGGGTGCCAGATAAGGAAGTGGTCAAGTAGTGTAAATACATGATAAGGACTGCCTCTTCAGCAGCGGAAAATCCTCAATATTGGGACTAGTCCCAATGTTGTAGACGTGGTACAGATACTTCACAACATGCCTGCTAAAAGATGGTCACCCCATCACCTGAAAATCTTACAGACATTTGGACTAAGAGTAAGTAAAATGTTTAATCTCTATGTGCAACTTTGCAAAAGGGTTGCCGCTAGAAGACTAGTGATTCTGAAATTTTACCAAGTATCTGAATCACGGGGAGGGCTACTTAAAACACAGTTGCTGGGCCCCACCCCCAGAGTTTCAGATTCAGTAAGTCTGAGGTGGGGCCCAAGAATTTGCACGTCTATCAAATACTCAGGTGATACTTAGGCTGTAGGTCTGGGGACCACACTTTGAGATCCACTATGCTAGATTCACTAAGGAAGAGCTTATATTCATGCTGAATAGGAAGCTGCTTAAAGCAAATTTTTTCGCTTAATATCAAAGCATTAGTTTTTCTTTGGCTAAATCAGGACGAAATGCATACTTATTATTCTCCTTTAAGGAATCTTGCAAAGTTAAAGAGATTCTAAAAAAGCAACAAAGAATATGTCCTTAAACATCACATTTCGTAAGTAGAATACGGGTTTTCTGTTGAGGACCAAGTTGGACACAGAAGTTTATATCTACTCCTCTAAAATAATGGCTAAAGGAACACAGGAAAACTCAAACGACAAAAAGAACAGGAGAATCACAATAAAAATTAAAAATAATTTTAATTTTTTTTATTATTCAGCCTTAAAAGGAAGGAATTTCTGACACATGCTAGAAGACATTATGCTAAGTGAAATGTCAGTCACAAAAAGACACACACTGTATGATTCCACTTATATGAAGTATCTAGAAAAGTCAAAATTTATAGAAAGAGAAAGTAGAATGGTGGTTGCCAGTGGCTGACTGGGGAGGGGAAAATGGGAAGCTGTTTAATGGGTAAAGAGCTTTGGTTTTGCAAGATGAAAAAGTTCTGGGATTGGTTGCACAACAATGTGAATATAAGTAACACTACTAACCTGTACACTTAAAATGATTACGATAGTAAACTTC